TGAAGATTGTCATATGTGGCTGGGAGGGTCAGTAAGTTTGGCCACCCCTGCCAATTAGGAATCCATAAAATTTACCAATATCTTCAATCACATGCTCTTATTAATGTTCTTATTCCTATCTGAGAGAACCATACAAACAATAGGGGGAATAATTAAGTCAATGGGAAATTTACTGAAGTCCATGGAATTATCCTTATGTTTCAAGTCAAAGACAAGCCAAAGAGTTTGCAGGATTGGGACCTAACAGCCTATCCAAGGGAAACAGTGAAACTGACTATACACAAAGGGTTGGCAATGCATATGTTAAGTAAAAGTTAAATATATATTCATATTTTTCACTCCTTTCAGCTTTAGTAATACTGGGTATTACTGGTAACAATAATAGGTAAAGTGTATTATAGCAAAAGTGTGAATTTTAGTTGATGGTGTCCCTTCAATAGATATAACCTATCTGAAGCAGCAGTATTAGGCCCAAATCCCACAAATGAATCACCACAGGTGGACCCTTGTGTCAGCATGAAGGGCCTCCCATGAAATCAATGAGAAATAACTTACAAGATCAAATCTTCAGTTTGTAAGCCGGGGCACTGTAACCACTGCTTATTATACTAATCTTAATTCTTTCACCGATATTTAGTGCTCCATGTTTGTCGTATTCACACACTGTCTCTTGCAGTAACAGTTAAGTCCCAACCCTGCAAACACACACATTCTTAACTTGACCAGCATGAGTAACCTCACTGATTTCAATGCGTATACTCATGGTAGTCAAGTTAAGAATGTGTGTAAGTGTTTGCAGGGTTGGGGCCTTAGATAGTAGGGGCCAAATTTTCGTTATATGTGCATAAAGTGCCTCGTGTATTCCTTGAATGAATCACTAGGAGCCACTACAATACAAATAATTAATAACAGTTGTAGCAACAGTTTGCTCATTTTTATATAAAATGTAAATCTATTTAATTTCCAAAATTTAGTCAAATTAAGGAAAGGGCAAATTGTCCTTCTTTATGAACCAGAGTCGTAGGTATTTCAAAAAAGAAAGTGTCAGGGATGACAGGCCTAAAATTTAACTTACAATTAAAATACTATTTTTAAAAAGTTATTTGGCTCCTGATGTTAAAAACTCTAGTAGCTCCACAAAAAAAGTTCTCAGACATGTTATAAAAATGACAACTCCACTGAGAAATCCACTAACAAAAATTCAGGCAACCTGGTTTTCTCTCAATTGATAGATGCATATAGAAGTGTGTATTTTTCATGTGTTTATCCTTTCTTGCGAGCAAGCAGGGTGGCAGGATTCTGGTCAGAGCAGGTCCTTTACATATTTAAATACTTTGACTAAACACAAAAGTATCAGACAAGTAGAGAGAAGGGATGTGGGAAATGTACATATCTGCAAAACAAAACAAAGGCGATAGGCCTAAACCTACTAGCTCTTGACAATGTCCAGAATTATGAACTTCGATATCAGCTACCACAATGATCAACTCTAATATTAACTTTAGTTAACTGTACTTATTTTCTTCCCTTGTAAACAAAAAGTAGAATGAGAAAACCTAGAAATCTGCATTTGACCACTTAAGTCTCTTCAATAACAGTTTTGGAAGGCTGAATGGATGACAAAATGAAAAATACACACATCCTTTTCCCTGCAAGGACATGATTCTAAGAGCTGCTCTGCCCCCCAGATTTGTACTAAAAATCAGTGGGAGTTGAGAGCACTTAGCTCCCTGCAGAAAGTGCTTGGCAGATCACAGAATTCAATGCTAAATTAATATCATTCACATCTGCTAATGAATCATCTTCTCATTTAAAAACTATTGCCACATTGGATTAAACGTTAAGGGTTGATAACCTAAAATATGAGCAAAAAGCTTGTGCCTTCAGACTGCCAGCAATGGTTCTGTTAGTATTAGAAATCAGAACTTCCACAAGTATTGCAAACAGTAAACACATATCCATTCATAGATGCAAGTTTTCATTTTTAATATATTAATTGATGCCAATTTTTTTAGCTTAATAAATATTAATATGGCATGAACTGTTTCTCACTCACAGGTCAAATCCCCCCTCAAATTTCTGTTATAATACCTTTTAGCACAATCTAGATGTCTACTGTAAAATAAAAATATTTTAATCATACAACTGATCTTGAGCCTTACCTTTTAGAAAAGGCAGAGGAGTTAATTCAATAGGCTTGCTCTGAGACCTAAACTGGGAGGAGCTTTGTGACCTCTTCTGTCTGGCTTTTCTGACGGACTTCCGAGAAAATCCGTCTACTTTATCCACTGACGGAGGAGTGGTTGGTGCTGAGGACATATCCCTACTGAAGGGAAACACACATTATAAATACATTCCCAGTGGATGAAAACAGGTAAAGATTAAATGAGTTTGTCAAGAGCCACCTCCTTCTCCTCATTCACATCCCTCCTAAGAACCCACTTGTGACATCAAAGAGAGATGGTCCATCAATTTACATATAGGCCTTATGAACTAGCTTCATGGTACTATTGTAATTCTTGTCCGTTCTCTCCCCTATTTTGTCTATGGCCCTCACTTGTTACATCATGTCTGAATTTAGGCACTGATTCTGCAATCAGATCCACACATGTGGACACATGTGTATCCATCAAGATCAGTTGATGTCTATGGAACTCCACAGAGGTCCGGGAGTATGCCTGTGTAGACCTGTCTGCAGGATCAAAGCCTTCGATCATAAGCTTTTTGGGTCACAAAATATCTTTTACTTGTTTTCACAAAGCACCATGCACACTTCTAGGAGCTCAAAAATAATAATGAATTTTAATATTAAAGTCACAACTACTTTATAGGACAATTAAAAACAAATAAAATTCAGTTTACTATCCATAAAGAAAGGTGGGTGTTTTGTGGAAACATTAAGTTCTCTAAAATAGACTGCTATGCTTTAAAACCAAAGAAAGTTCACTAGGTTTGGTCTACACTAGCAAGTTATGTTGGTGTAACTACATCACTTGGGATGTGGAAAATCCACGTCCATGAGCAATGCAGTTATACTGACCTAACTCCCGTGTAGACAGCACTATGTCAAAGGGAGGGGCTCACCTGTTAATATAGCTACCGCCTCTCAACAACCAAATTCTTGATTTTTACCAGGCTTGCCTTCTCTGACAAAAAAGTTAAACCACATTTTCTCAGTGAAGTGGAAAGAACAGATTTAAGAAAAAAGATTTAGCCCCAGATCCAGCAAACACTTACACGTGTTCAACTTTAATCAGCAGAGCTACTCACAGTAGTCACAGATTCATAGATATTAAGGTCAGAAGGGACCATTATGATCATCTAGTCCGACCTCCTGCACAACGCAGGCCACAGAATCTCACCCACCCATTCCTGTGAAAAACCTCTCACCTATGTCTGAGCTATTGAAGTCCTCAAATCGTGGTTTAAAGACTTCAAGGAGCAGAGAATCCTCCAGCAAGTGACCCGTGCCCCATGCTACAGAGGAGGGCGAAAAACCTCCAGGGCCTCTTCCAATCTGCCCTGGAGGAAAATTCCTTCCCGACCCCAAATATGGCGATCAGCTAAACCCTGAGCATATGGGCAAGATTCACCAGCCAGATGCCCAGGAAAGAATTTCCTGTAGTAACTCAGATCCCACCCCATCTAACATCCCATCACAGGCCATTAAGTCTATTTACCATGAATATTTAAAGTTCAATTAATTACCAAAATCATGTTATCCCATCATACCATCTCCTCCATAAACTTATCGAGTTTAATCTTAAAGCCAGATAGGTTTTTTGCCCCCACTGCTTCCTTTGGAAGGCTATTCCAAAACTTCACTCCTCTGATGGTTAGAAACCTTCGTCGAATTTCAAGTCTAAACTTCCCAATGACCAGTTTATATCAATTTGTTCTTGTGTCCACATTGGTACTGAGCTTAAATAATTCCTCTCCCTCTCTGGTATTTATCCCTCTGATATATTTATAGATAGCAATCATATCTCCCCTCAGCCTTCTTTTAGTTAGGCTAAACAAGCCAAGCTCCTTGAGTCTCTTTTCATAAGACAAGTTTTCCATTCCTCGGATCATCCTAGTAGCCCTTCTCTGTACCTGTTCCAGTTAAATGTGTGTAAATGTTTCCAGGATCAGGGTCTTACAGCATGTTTTTGGAAGGTCCTGAGAGCACTCAATGTCCATTGATTCCAATTATCTGAAGGACTACTATTGCTAATGGGAGTTGATTTTGCAACCTGCAGTACACCTTGAAGTCCTCATTTTGTTAAAATATTTGGGGACTGATCTGATTCATAAATAATTTAAATCAACATTATTTGGATTTTTCTTATTATGCAAAATACTTTATAAGTATGATTTTTTTTAAATTATGTAAAGATGAGGGTTGTTAAATGAAACCCTCTCAACTTTAATACGTGAAAAATTATTGTGTGTGCGCACACACACACACACAGTCTACTGAAAATATAAAATACATAACTTCTTTAAGGAACCAAGAGGAATCCCTTGATATTGGACAGTGAAGCCGGCATCATCTAAAAACAATTCTTATTTCATCAACTTAATTTTTCCTCAGGTGTGGCTTCATTATCATCCCAAATAATACATCCTATATTTAATAGGCTATGAGCAACACACTTCTATACTTGAAACAGATGTTATTTACCAACTGAAACAGATGCCAACATCACCATGACATCAAGGGGCCATGGAAGTTTCATGGGAAAATCAGACAAATTATATGGAGAAATGTTATATACTTTCACTTCAACAAACCAATTCGTGATTCCTAAGTAAGTGGAGAGTAGAGTCTCTCAAAATATACAAACACAAAAAGTTACGTTTTGTCAGCAGGACTCTGGACATAACAAAAAATGACACACATTCTAGATCTGTTATTCCTATTTCACCTAATTAAAAAAAATTTTCATCTCCTCATCAGATGTAACTGTTAAAAAAATCTAACCATTTCCCCAGAAACATTTGTACACAGTCTCAAAATGGAATTGCTAAGAACATTAACGGACAAAGACTGGAGCAGTTCACTCAAACTGCAGGATCATTCTGTCAGCAAGAGGCTTTACCCACACTTCTCTGCTGTAAATTTAGTAACAGTTTCTCTCACCTGATTTATACATTATTAAATTCTAATTCTAATTCAACAAGACTACATCCAGCCTTAACAACATTACAGTAAACACTGGTCACTTTTTCACATTCTTAAATGATCATTTAAATGCACTGAAAAACACTATTTCCATGGGGGGGGGGGGAGAAGGAATGAGGTTTTTATTGAGTGCAGCACAAGTGGCGGATAACTGCATTTACAGCTATAGCTTTCTCAATAGAAAGTGTTTATTTATAACACGGGAAATTTTTTAGTATTTTGGTAAATACACAGCGACACACACTAGAGACTGTCACCGCTGGGGACAACAATACGAGGAAAGGCGAGTGAATGTAAAAATACCGATGGATGTCACTGCAAGCGGCTAGGTAGGAGCAAGCGCCCCCACTAAGCACTCCGTGAAAGCAGGGGTGTAATTAGCTGCATTCTGACGGGTGTTACTGGGTGTCATTTCCCTCCGCCAGGGGATAAGTAACACAGCTGGACTCTATCCTTTACCACCCCCACCCCGTGACCCCCATCTTCTCCAGCGCTCCCCGATCCTCCCGCCCTTCCCGCAGCCCTTCCCCCACGCCGCGGCCGGCTCGCAGCCCTCTCGGGGCTGGGGGTGAAGTTACCTTGACCCTCCTGGCAGAGAATTCGGAGCCGAGGAGGAGAAGGCGGAGTGAGCCGGGCTCGGCGGAGCGCGGCCGATCCCTGGCGGCGGCGGCGGCCGGAGCGTCGTGCGCGCCGGGCTCTGTCCCTGCAGCTGCAGGAGCCTGTAGGCCTCGGCGGCAGCGGCCTCCTCAGCGCAGGGCGGCGTTGGCGGCGGGTTCAGGAACGGGCAGCTGCTCGGGCTCCGCTCGGTCCCGTGCGCTCGGCGCGGCCCCCTGCCTGCGATGGCTGCTGTCTCACTCACATTCCCGGCGGAGCCCTGCGGAGGGGCCTGCGGAGGGGCGGCCGAGCGCGGGCCGAGCGGAGAGGAGCCGCGGTACGGCGGGCGGGCGGGCGCGGCGAGCGGCGCTGCGGCTGGCGCTGGGGGCCTCCTCTGCCGCTGGCTGGCTGGGGGAGCGAGGGGTCCCGGCTGTCTCGGGGTCGCGCTCGGGCTCGCTCACTCCTATTGTCAGCCACTCTCACTGGGCTCCGGCCATGGCACACACACAACCGAACGTGCTGCCACCGCCCACAGCCCGCCCCCCGCACACGCCCACTCAGCCTGCTGCCGCCGCCGGGACGCGCCGCCTCATTGGCGCCCGCCGCCGGGAAGTGGGAGCGCCGCCGGCCGAGCCAGCAGAGGTACGGGGCTGGACAGGACGCGGGCGGCAAGCGCAGACCGGAGGCCGGGCACCCACCGGGCGCTACTGCTGAGCCTGGCGGCGCCTCGGCAGGAGGAGCTGGGCTTTCCCTCGGGGCTGGCGGTGCTCCACCGGGCTCCTCGTCCGCTGCCCTCGCACAGGCCGCCAGCAAGGCCTCGGACCGGGTAGCGCTGCCCGCCTGGCCCTGTAGCTCGGGGAGACCTATGCCCTACCGCGGGGCTGGCGCCCGGGTCTCTGTGCTGAAAGGCGCGCCCCGAAAAGAGACCCTCCCCGTCGGACAGGGCAAGGCCCGCTGCCCCCCGCACCCAGCCGAGCGAGGAGGGGATGCCTGCCAAGGTAAAGCCGAGCCCTCCCCGACGGAGCCCCGTAGGCCCCCGGGGTGCTCCAGAGGCCTTCTGCGGGGAGGCGCGGCTGGCCGAGCCCCGCTCTGCAGTGGGGGGGCATGAACCATGTTGTCCGGCCGGGATAAATACATTCTGCCTCCTTCCCTCCACTCCCCCTGTAGCGTCGCTGCCTCACACGTGTGTGGCGGTGGGGTGAGCTGAGCTGCTCGGCTGTTGTTTTCCCTGTGGTCTGTAGTGCCACACCAGACCCGTGTACGTGACAAGGATGGGAGGGGGCAGGTGCTGAATACATGTGAATTTACATCCTGTCACTGAAGAAATAAAGCTGCTTTTAAAAGTATTTACAACCTTTTTTCCCCCTGCAATGTGAAAATAAAAATGGGGAAGACACTTGCTGAATTCTCCCAATGATAAGATTTATGCCAGCCCTGCATATCTTATAGTAGAGGGCACTTGGGCTTCCCAGTGCCATCAGCTTGGTGTTTTCTAATGATTTTTTTTTAAAAATGGATACAGGTATATGTGTGCAACAAAGTGAGTATTTTTAATAATAGCTAATAACTTTCACATTATGGTTAAATATATATATGGCTTCTGTGTTATAAATATAATGCAGTATTTCCCCCATGATTCTGACAAAGTAAGGCCAAACCTTACTGATTTCACAAGGAAGTAGCTGGGAGTATAATGCTATAAAAACTTACTATAGGTATTCTTCCTCCCTCTCCCACCTTCACTTGCTCCTCTAACAGGTTTTTTTTTTTAAAAGATGTTCTTTGAACTATTTAAGAGGAGCGAATTTTTTTATGTGAGCTACTAAAAAGTACACATTGGTAGTTCGTAATCATGGGTAACGTATTGAAAATCATGGTAGCTACTAGTATTAAGACCACATAGATGGTCTTTGCCTCATTTTCCTTTTATGTCTTCCCTCATCCCATTTGTTCTTTATAATTGTTTCCCCCGTAGTCAAGGAGTATACAGTAGTGCCACACTAAACACAGGACGAGTTGAACTGATTGCCAGCTTCCTTGCTAGGAAACTGAGTTAGTGTGAGAGCCATGAAAGATTTAAAGCTTCACTCTTCTCATTGCTATACAGATGGACAACGAAGCACTCAGAAAAAGTGTTTAAAACAATTCCATATGACTGAGTCTAAACTGCAAAAAAAATTGTCATTTCCTGTAAAGGGACAAAAAAGTAGTACACTACCTAGCTTGTCATGTCCCCAGAAAACTTTTATTAAAAAAAAAAAACTACAAGAGACTTAGCTCTTAACTACATTAGAAAACTTGTATTGATGGAACTAAAAAACATTTAGTTACAGAAGAGCAAACCCCTAATACAGATACACTTAGATCACTTTAAATCCACTTCAACGAGTTTAGCTTACTGTAGTAATTTATGGTATTAAGCTAAATTGGTTTAAGTGAATCTATTATAGGGGTTTACACCAGTGTAACTAGATCAGTTTTTGTTATACTAGTGCAATTGTCCAATAGAGACAAGAAGTTCACCGTTTCAGTTAACAGAGTTTCACATAGTTATGTCCCTCTATGTCTATTAATTAAAATTCTCTAGATTAGCCAAATTCAGTGTCCTCCATGCAATTTGGATTATGTATAGAGAGCACTGGAGTGAGGTTTAGGAGACCTTGGCTGCTAGCCTACTGGGGACCGCAGGTAAGTTATTGAACTTGTCTATGCTTTAATTTTCTCATCTGTAAAATGGGGATAATATTTGTCTCCTTTGTGTAAAGCACTTTGATATCTACAGATGAAAGGCAGTATATAAGAAGTTATTATTCTTAAAATAAGTTCCTAGGGATAGAAGAGCTAGTAGTCAGACTACTGCGATCCACATCTCCGCAGATAGTCTCATGACCTCTCTTGCTGTTTTATATAAGTTATTATTATTAGGTTACATAAACTTATATTAGAAAGTGAATAAATCATATTTAAATGATGTATTCCATATAACTAAAAAATTGCTGTACAGGACTTGCTATTTCCATTTTGACTGTTACAGGCATGTTTATATTGTTTACTGTAATATTTATCAGTCTGATGTGGTGATGAGCATGTCAAAACCATGAGACTTACTTTTTCTTTATCTTCTGACCAGCAAATTTTCCACAACTCTTCTTTCCTTTTCTTGCAGATTGGTTTTTCTTTTCTTTCCTGGTCATGTCCCAGGAGTTCTCGTATTCCTTTAAGAGAAATACGAATCTTGACCTCAAATGTGCAGGGAGATTTGTCTGCACCCTGATGAAAAAACTGTTGTCATGTTAAAGAGACACAGCAACTTTTTTTTTTTCATTTAATGCTTCATTTACATTTTGTGAAATCTGTATTTCCAAGAAATTACATATTCTGGCATCTAGGCAGCAATATAGAATATCCTAAAAATTCACAAATCTATCATTAAAGAATAAAAGCTACCAAACAAGCAGCACCAAGTAAAGCTCAGAACCCCCAACATCTTCAAGGAAAAGCCTGTATTTATATATAAGCCTTTCAACATGCCCTAAAGGTTGAGGGGCAAAAAAGGCACTCTATTGGACCGTAGCATTCCTCCACTGATATATCCCTATCCTGAATGAATGAGTTGCAGGACTGTCATCTCAAACATCCCAGGTCATCCTGTGAGAGAGAGGTGTTCTCTACAACTGCACTGCTCAATTCTTGCTGCACAATGTGAGCCCAATTAAATTTTTGTTTTCCTTCAGGAAAGTGCAACTATGAGCCTTTAAAACAGATTTTAAAAGAAATTTTCAAAGGTAGCTTGTTTTACTTTTAAGAATAGGCATTAAAAGGATCTGTGGAGAATGGTCTGTCCAGCTCAACATCTATAGTGCCAAAACAGTACTGGTGGGCAGAGTCTACTCTGCACCAATTACTCCCAGATTTGGTCTGCCCAGAAGTTTCAAAGTGTGACTAAATATCCACTATCTAGGAAAAAGAAAAGGAGTACTTGTGGCACCTTAGAGACTAACAAATTTATTTGAGCATAAGCTTTCGTGAGCTACAGCTCACTTCATCGGATGCATGCCTCCGATGAAGTGAGCTGTAGCTCACGAAAGCTTATGTTCAAATAAATTTGTTATTCTCTATGGTGCCACAAGTACTCCTTTTCTTTTTGCGGATACAGACTAACATGGCTGCTACTCTGAAACCTGCCACTATCTAAGGTTCATGGACCTGTCTGTGATACAGAATATGAATTAAATACGAGAAAGGGAGGCCACATGGCCCAGTGCTGCCTTCCTTGATTGGCACAAGGGAAGAACCCTCTGTAAACTTTACCTAAAAACTTTTACCAAAGACAAGGTCACTGAATGGATAAGGTTGTGGAAGTCTTGCTCTGTTGGGTAGTAAACAGTTTTATTTGGCTACTTCATCTGGTCTGTGTGTCCATAGTGAGAGTTATATAATGCTCTGTAAAGCCGTGGTTCTCAACCAGGGGTACGTTTATCCCTGGGCTTACACAGAGGTCTTCAAGGGAGTACATCAACTCATCTAGATATTTGCCTGGTTTTACAACAGGCTACATAAAAAGCACAAGCTAAGTCAGTACAAAATAAAATTTCATACAGACAAAATGAGAAAGTAAGCAATTTTTCAGTAATAGTGTGCTGTGACGAGTGTTCCCTCTAATTTTTTACATCCATGTACAGAATGAATTTTGTTATGTGCACCAATATTGAGGTGATGTGTGACACACCACCTTCATATTGGTGCACATAACAAAATTCATGTGGTGGGGTTGGGGCTGAGGGGTTTGGCGTGTGGGAGGGGCAGAGGGTTGGGGTATGGAGGAATGAGGGCCCTGGCTGGGGGGGTGGGCTCTGGGGTGGGTTTTGGGAGGAGGGGTTCAGGGTGCGGGAGGGGCTCTGAGTTGGGGTGGAGCCAGGAATGAGGGGTTCAGGGTGCTGGGTGGGGGCTCTGGGCTGGCGATGAGGGGCTTGGGGTGCAGGCTGCCCCGGGGCTGCAGTGGGGAGAGAGGACTCCCCTTAGCCCTCTCTTGCCACAGCAGCTCGGGCCCTGGGGAGAGGCACCTCCCCCTGGCCATGGCAACTCTGGAGGGGCTAGGCCAGGCCAAGGGAGGGGCTCCTTGCCCCGGCTGGCTGTGGCAAGTTGGGGGCAGGTTGGTGTCGCGGCAGGTCGGCGCTGGGGCTTAATAGGCAGCTGCGCGGCCACGTAGCTTAGAGGGAACTTAGGCTGTGACACTTTTGTATTTTTGTCTGATTTTGGAAGCAAGTAAATTTTACATGAGATGCAACTTGGGGTGCACAACATAAATCTGACACCTTAAAGGGGTACAGTAATCTGGAAAGATTGAGAACCACTGCTATAAAGCATCTACACACCGAAGGGAAGATTCTCGTTGGTACGATGGGAATTGTTCAGACATTTTCTTGCTTCCTAATATTGGAACTAGAAAAACCTTATGTCCCCAGACAACTAATTATTCAGCCCAACAGGAAAAAGACCAGAAAATGTTTTGCAGGAACAAGAAATGCTATCTGAACAGACGAATCAGCATGAAAACCAGGCTCTTCTACAAGGCCACAGAAATTGTCAAAAGTGAACAATCAGTGAAATAGTGCTTCAAAACAACTAAACTACTCTAAAATAAATGAAGTGCACCAGTGTCTAGGAGTGTTATTTTAGCGTAAGTCCTCTTGAACCAAATTCAGCTCAGGCACAAGATCATTGTATTTAATCTGCTTACAGCCAGGATGAATTTTGCTTCTGACTTCGTTGTTAGTTTTGTTTTGGTGAATGGCACATCCAACTTTTGTTTTAATATTTATAATGTGCAGCATCTAGTTTGCATGTTGACTCACTTTAAAGGTGAGTCTTATGCTTGTTTGGGTTCTGTATAGAGCACCCCTGCCTGAGCCAACAATGAGAGAATGGAGAACCAGGTGGTAACTTCAGCAATGCTCTCAAAACACGTGATTCCAGTTATGAAGATGGTATGGGGGAA